ATACGTTTTACAAACTCTTTTTGTTTCATATTTCTTTTTCCTTCTTCCTTGATATTGATTTTTTTATTTTATTTTATCACTGCTATCGTCTGCTCAAACTTCACACAATCATCTCTTGTTCTTCTCATCATTTCTCTACAATCTCTTCTTTCGCCATCGTCTTTTTTATTCTTATTAACTTTGTTTTGTTTAGAGATTTTTTTTTGGGGGGGGGGCTAGCTTGCTCGTTCGATAGCTCTTTACACCCCACGCAATCTCTGTTAAAAATTCTTCGAACTGTGCCTTCCTAATAAGATGATGGGTCGCGGTGCCTCATTAGTTCTAAGAGCCGTTGTCTTGCAACGCCTGAAGAGAGTCCTTCAGAAACCACTTCTGTCTTGTTTCAACTTTGATACGACCTTTTTATCCGTAGCTCTATGTAGCTCCAAACAACACCCACCCTACCAACCAGCCAACCATCAAACCAGTCCCACCTTCCAGTGTACGGTCGGACGCCCACGTTCTCCTTTTCAAAGTTGGTATCATCTCCCTCCCACACCCCGGCACATCATCCTGTTTCTCGATTCTTTCAACCATGTTCCATGTGAGATTTCAGGAGTGTGACGAGACAGGGACGAATGATAAAAAACGTAACTCCCCTTCGCGTCTGTAGCCGCCATTTATCTGCTTATTCAACATGAAAATGTCAATTTATTTAAACAAAATAAATCCGAAAATAGAAATCAATGGTATATTCAATCAAAATATTCGCAAATGGACGCCATACATTCGTTTCATCATGATATCAAATCGACAGGATTTTTGTAGAGTAATATTTTGTTAAAAGAACCGATATATATATATATATATATATATATATATATATATATTAATGATTATTTAAAAAAATGATTCCAGCGCGGCACAGAAATTACTGTTTCGAAACTGATCAGCAGTATTCAAGTTTAATTTCAGTATTAAACCTTAACTATTGGATGGCAGTTTCATCCTCAAACGATGTTTGTAATGTTTCCTTATCGCTTGAGGATGAAACTGTCACCCAATAGTTAAGGTTTAATATTGAAATTAAAGCTGAATATTGCAGACCAGTTTCGAAACATAGTAATTACTGTGTCGCGATGGAACCATATTCTTTTTTAAATAATTATAATCTAGGCTCTACTTCTGTATCAAGCACTGTTTGTTTTTAAAAAAAAAACAAAAAACAAAAATACTAAAGAACTTCGGATCATCAATCTAACAGTTCTTTCCTATTATATCAATACACACACAAACACACACACACTCATATATATATATATATATATATATATATATATATATATATATATATATATATATATATACACGTTTCATTGAATATCTTTGATTTAGAAACATAAACAATAACATTAATATTTTTATAAAAATCGATTGAACCAAAATTACAAACAATTAAAAATTAGAATTAAGTATTAAAAAAATTCACAACACAAGTTGACAATAGCAAAAATATTAGATTAATTATTTATTACAAAAACTTTAAAACCGCCAAACTTATAGTTAAAAATAATAATTCATCTCTTAGAGCAAAATTAAATAGGACAAATATTATTTACGAATTTAAATGTCCATTAATGAATTTTTATTACTGATCAATCAAAATTCGTAAACAATTATATAGTTCATACTACAACAGGTTTAACAAGAAAACTCACACTACATCTTTCTGACCATAGCTCAATTAGGTGTCATTTAAATACTCATGAAGACCTAACGGACCCTATCCACAACATACTTGTCAATAATACAAATATAATAGCATCGTCATTGAAAAAAAAATAGGTGAAAATAATGGAACACTTATTAATTAAAAAAACACAAAAAAAGCTCAATAATATAAACTATGAACATGGTCACATTATCTTGACCATGTTTTGAAAACGAAAACATTATATAAATACATGCATACAAAATCTATTTCTTGTTAACAGTTAATATATTTCAACCTTGAAAATGGCTAAATGTATAGCCGAAAGCGCTCGGATAAAGAACAATTGGACAGTTTTTAAATAATTTCTCTACCGAAAAGAAAAAAACATTATAAGATCACATGAGAAATTGTATATAAAACTAAATCAAAGGGCCTTGTCTGTCATATTCAATGAGACGTGCATGACAGAAGGATTGCTTCCTAAATACACACACACACACACACACACACACACACACACACACACACATATATATATATATATATATATATATATATATATATATATATATATATATATATTTATTTAACCAAGTAATGGATTTTTTAAAATTGATTTACGCTTAACGGGTTAAGAGATGAAATCTGTTGTATTAATAAATTAAAAAGTCCATTACTTCTTTAAAATTGCTTTGTTTACGTTCGGATACAAAACTAAAGCGATATGAACTTTACGCTTATAAGACACTATTCGGCCTTGCGTGATCGAAGACTCCGAGTTGGTCGAAAGCCCACTGAATCTAACGACTCCTTTTTTTCTGCAAAGGGGAACGCAAATTCAAATCCTATCGGAAGGTGCATCTTTTTCTTTAATAAAAATTCTAGAATATTCTGGCCGGTAGACGAAAATAAATAAATATACTTAAAAGAAATAAACAGATCGTCTACTCAAATATAAGTATCCACTAAAAAATAACGTTTAATATTATATATATATATATATATATATATATATATATATATATATATATATATATATTACTTATTTTAAGATATTAAATTAAATGTTACAGACAGTGGAATTACACTTCATTTGTTCTCATTTTATGTATATATATATATATATATGTATTATAATGAATCATTCATACAAAAAGTAAATTAGTAAAGTTAATGATATAAAATGGTGAAATCCCTTCGCTAACAAGATTTTAAAGGTGCATTAACCTACCAATCACTTGATGAATATTATGATCCTTGATTCTTAAAATTATAAGCTGTGTAAGGTCTTTCTTAAATACGCAAGTACTCTCGACTGTACATTCAGTCATCTTCAGGCATGGAAATTATTTTTGTTTTTGATTTTTTTAACATCCAAGACGAAAAAATGTAATGCAAATCGAAATATGTTTTTTTTTAATGTGTTATTGATAACGGATGCAAAATTTTGGAGCGTGCAACGCTAAGGCTGAATTTTTTTGATGCTACCTGAATTTTACCAAAAACAAAATAATTTCCATGCCTGAAGATGACTTAATGTATAGTCGAAAGTACTTGTGTATTTAAGAAAGACATTATACAGTTTATAATTCTAAAAGAAACAAGGATTCATCAAGTGATTGGTAGGTTAATGCATCTTTAAAATTTTGTTAGCGAAGGAATTTCGCCATTTTATATCATTAACTTTACAAATTTACTTTTTGTATGAATACCAGAAATAATTCTGAAATTAAACCAATTTTTAAATGAATTTAGCTATTTGTCGTTATTTAAAAATTATTTCTGGGAAATTTAATTATATCGTCGACATGGAAAACAAAATAACAACCCTTATAACAAAAAATTTACTAATACTAATATACAGATAAATTTGGGATTTGATGTAACTATAGATACAAAACATTTCGCTTTCATTGCTTGCCTTAATAAAGTC